CCCCACTGCCCACCCTGCCACCTCCCTGGGAGGTGTTCAGGGGATGCTTCTGTGCTCTTGGGCTTATCCTGCTGTGCTCTGAGCTTCTCCCCTCTTCTGTAAGAGCCAGGTCAGCCCCTGACTCTTCCATCCCTTGGGGAGCGCACGGGGCAGAGAGGCTGAAGCGCAGAGATCCCCTCATAACCCAGAAGAGCCAGGACTGCTTGCTTTTCACAAGCCCTTTGGGGCCTTTGCCCAGCTTCGCACACAGCAGGTGCCCCAAGTGTGTGTGAAAACTTCAGGCCCACACCCATGAGTCACAGTGACTTCCACTACGGCAGGCTGGCCCGCAGGACGACACTCAGCCTGAACATCTCAGCCTGGGCAGGGGACCCTCCAGACACCTCTGAGGTCAGGAAGGACAGGGTTAGTGGGGAGCAGGCTGGGTGCTCACCCGGGAACTTCCGGCCCCAGGGTGGCTTCCAAGCTCTGGGCCCCCAAGGGTCTCTGAGGAGACAAGGCCCACCCGGCAGTGTGGCTTTGTGCCTTACTTCCTGAGGGCTGTAGTGACCTAGGGAGGTGCAGGTGCTAGGAGAGGACAGTCACAAGGCCGCATCACAGAGCCGCCTCACTGAGTTGGTGGCAGCAGGCCCAGGGCAGACGTGACTCTGAGGACATCTGTTTCTACAATGTCCTGGCACGTCTGCCACACACATCTCAGGGGCATGTCTGCGCCAGATCAGTGGCAAAGGCGGGACTTGTGGGCACTAGCACCAGCTCTGTGCCTCCTCCCAGAAGCTCCCAGGCTCACCCAGGTCTAAACCCAGACTCTACACCAGCATGCAATGGAGTAGGTGGCCCTCCTCTTCCTCCCTCTTCCTCTACTGGACAGCTGTCAGAAAACAGCCTTCCAACATTTCCTGGCAAGGGTGTTTTTGGGGTACAGCAGTGCGGGTACACACACCCACGATGAGCTCTTCAGCCCGGCAGACCCTCCGCAGGCTCATAGCCCTGCTGCTGTCTCCCCACCCAGGTCAGAACTCATGCCTTGGGGAGCAGTGTTTACCTTCCACCTCCTGTGCTGTCCGCTGGAGTTTGTTTCCGCTTGTGCTACCTGAAGGAAGGGAAGCAGAAACCAGCCTCAGAGTCGCCGGTGGCCCAGAGCTGTCAAAGGCAGCGATCCACATGCTGAGGGCAGCAGGCCCTGCCGTGCCGGGAAACCAGGCTTGCTACAGAGCACCACGCTTGCTGCTGTCTGCAGGAAATTGTTCTGGGACACCTGCGCCTGACCCTGTGACAGTGACCGTGGCTGACTGGACTGGATAAATCCTCAGAAAAGCGACATTCTTCCTTTGGCCCTGATGTCCCCAAGGAGGCCCGGCCCTCCGTCATCCCCACCCCCGTGCAATGGGTCTAGTTGTGTTCCCCCAATTTCACACCCACCAACACCTCTGAATGTGAATTTGTTCATAAATGGGGTCTTCCCAGGTCTCAGCTGTTCAGGAACTCGAGGTGCCCCCCTCCCAATTTAGGGCAGGCTCTAAAGCCCAGGACTGGGACAGTTCCAGTGTGGCAGCGTGGGGAGCTCTTCTGCCCCAGCTCCGCAGCACCCCTCCCATAGAACATGTAGCCACGTAGGGTGTCCTGTGCCCACGCCCAACTGGGGCCACCTGCGTTAGCTCTGTCTAGGTTCCAGGAGCTGGAGCCCAGCCCACAGAGAGGTACTAAAGCCTCTAACCAGTCCACCTGTTTTCATAGAATGCCTGGCCAGAAAGAGTACCCTACCCACGTGGGCTGCTGGGAGCACACAGGCCCCAACTCCTCCCGCAGGGCGGACTCAGTGCCCTGGGAACAGGCACCCAGCACTGAGTCCTGGGCAAGCACATTTGGGATTCAGTCAGGAGCTCGAGCCCGGCCCACAGAGATGTGCACCCGCCCAGTGGGCTGTGAGCATCCCTGGCCACGGACAGCTCCAGGGCTCTGGGAAAGGACAGAAAACTTCCCATCTGCAGAGAGATGTTTGTGGGAACAGGAGCTGCAGCTTGTGCCAGACTCTCCTGTGACCCTGTAAGATTAGGAGCCCCTGCTATGGGCGCGGTGGAACTCGGAGGTGAAACAACCATTTCATTGTGTTTTTAAAAAGAACCCCATGGGGCTGGTGAGATGGCTCAGTGGTCTAAAGCACCTACCTAGAACAAGCTAAGCAAAGCACAGGGACCGCGGTTCAATTTCCCAGCACCACATGCCAGCCAGCCCCGCCCCCTGGTGGGCTGAGCTGGCCACACACACACACACACATACACACACACAAATAAATAAATAAATAAATTTAAAAGGAACCCCTGCTGGAGCCGCTGATGGTGTAGTTAGGTAGAAGAGCCCAGAGTTCATGGCTGCGCATCTGAGCGCTAGGACCTGCTGCTCCCTGAAGCTGTTTCCTGGGGAGCTGGGGTCTGCCGAAGCGGGGCTGGGCATCTCCAGCCATACCCACCTCAGCCTGGTCCCGGACCCAACCCACGTGGATGCAGGGCTCCCACGGTCACTCAGGGAACAGAGTCCCCAGGGCCCAGGAGCAGTGCAGCCCCGCTTGGACAACAGCGCTGCCTCCAGCCTGGACAGCTCCGGGCCCAGGCGACTTTTTGCCTTTCCTTCAGCATTCCTTGCCTGTAGGCACTCTGCGGATGAGCTGCAGGGCCCAGGGAAGGAAGGAGGTGAGCTCTGTCCTCCGCATGCAGGACGGGACAGCTGCCGGGCAGGTCAGTGCACTGGCCACGCAGGTGCTTTGCGCCCTCTGTGCCGGGCGCGCCTGAGCACTGGATGTGGACACAGGGGCTCAGGCTGCAGTGGGAAGGCGGTGCCTGCACAGAAGCAGCAGCACCCTGTCCGCCATGTCCACTCTGGCCAGACTCCTCCGCCATGGTGGCTCAGACCCCAGTGCTCACCTGGGGAAGCTCCTGGGTTTGCCTTTCCGACCTAAGCCCCACAAAGACAGGGGCATTCCTTGGCACTAGCCACTGCATTCTCAGGCATCTTCCATCTGCCATCTCCCAACACCAACCGGGGCAGGGCACACAGATCAGCGCCGCCCTCTGCCCACCTCACGTGGCAGCAGGGACTACCTAGAGCACAGCAGCCCCGGGCTCGGTGCCTCCCAAGAGCCTGACACTTCAGGCAGCCATTGTCACGGCCAGACCAGCAGCAGTGCATCCCACACGTGGACTGCACGTGTCCCTACTGCCCCCATGTGGCCCAGCCCACATGTGAACAGGCAGCTGGCACCCCACCAGCCGTGTGGTGCAGGAATGAAGAAGAGGGGCTGGGAGGTACTCCGCACCGTGCACTGTCTATCCCAATGCCCCCGTTACTACTCCCCGGCTGTGGCAATCAGCACTGGTCATCAGCTCTCGCTGGGGTCTCCAGGCAGAGCAGAGCCACAGAGGCGCAGAGTGGCCCAGAGGTGCTCAGGTAGGGTGTGGAGCCTGCTGGGTCCCTGCGGGCCCCTCTGCATCAAACGCTGTCGCCTGCATCCAAAGTGATGATGATTCTATCATAAAAGGCGCCCGGGCTCTCAGCATGAATTAAATGCAATCCGAGTCCTGAAAATCCTCGACTTACAGCCCAGGGCCTGGGAGCTGCAGCCCCCACATGTGGGGGGAAGAAGAGGAGCAGGAGTGGTGGGGTGGGAGGCCCAGGGTCCACCCCATGGCTGCACTTGGTACGGAGACCCGGGCCTCTGTGGGACTCCAGCCCCTGCCTGTGCTCCGTTTTCCATACCAATTTTCATAAGCAAAACACAGAGGCAGAGCCCTGGCAGATGCTGCACATCAGACACGCGCGTCCCTCCCCTCGCCATTCGGAGCCTCCCAAGGCCCCGCTGAGCCCGACCCTGACCCCATCGCACTGCTGCCACCTGCGCCCTCCGCTGCCACCCATCACTGCTCACCCGGGCCAAGGCACAGGAGCAGCGCCAGCCCACTCAGGGCCAGCATGGCGGGCTGTGCAGAGGAGGCGGCCATGAGGAGGCTGAGGGGTGTGGAGCGGACAGGAGCCGGCAGGAGCAGGCAGGAGCAGGCAGGAGCAGGCAGGAGCCGGCAGGAGCAGGCAGGAGCCGGTAGGAGCAGGCAGGAGCCGGCAGGATCTCACAGGAGCGGGCAGGAGCCCACAGGAGCAGGACTAGAGGAGTGATGCCGCATGGCCGAGGAGGCACAATGTCCTTGCCGGGGCGGGGCCAGTGGTGGGCGACAGGCCAAGGGGCTGCAGGCCAGGGCACTTCGGCACAGGAACTGAGGGCCAGGGGAGGACGAGAGGAGAGCTCGCACATGGCCTGAGGACACGGGCATCAGGAGGGATCCTGGGGGCCGGGGGGCCTGGGGGCCGGGAGGGAGGGAGGAGCCCCCCGAGCCACGCTCCAGCTCCCAGCTCCCCGCTCCCCGCTCCCCGCATGCTCCCCACCACCCCATGGCTCCCGGGCAGCTTGGACAGCTCTGCTGGAATTTCCTTCATTCCTGAGCTGCAGGGACCTCAGCCTTGGCAGCTCCAGGCTCTGCGGCTGTGAAAAGCGCCACAGTCTGGATTCCCAGCCTCCGTCCAGGAAAACAGCTCAGCCCAAACCAGTCATGGAAAAGTCCCGGCGTGGCCAGGATCCCCACAGGCGGCCGCCAGCAGGGGCCGAGCTCTCACTGAGCACTGGCATCCCCATGGGAGCCCTGTGTCCCCAGCCACCACCCCACCATGCTCTGTGTCCCCACAGGCAGAAGGGAAGGAGGAGGGAGGCTGTCCACTGCGGCCTGTCCCTGTCCCTGGAGGACTGTAGCAGCCCTGTGGTGCAGGGCAAGCAGACTTACCCCTCCCCTCTCCTGGGAAGGGAAGGGAAAGGCAGGGCAGGCCCTCCTCAGCTGCCACCCCACACTGCTCAGCCAAGCATGGGGTCCACAGTGGGGCCTTCAGCACAGGGCAGGGATGGGAGGGCTGGCCCTCGGTGTTCCCTGAAGCCAAGCTCACACTGTCTAACAAGAAGGGACAAGGGATTGCCACCAGACCTGAAGGGCCGGTCAGGCTGGCAGAGGAGCCCGGGGAGGATGGGTCCAGGAATCAGCAGCTCCGGGCCCAGGTGGCCGCACACCCGCTCTGCCCGTGCAGCTCTCCATCCTTTCCCTCCCCATATGCAGCACTTTCCCCAGTTATGACACAGCTCGGAAAGGCAGAGAAGGGAGGGAAAGCCGCGTGACTGGCACTTCAGGAGCCGGGGTGAGTTTGTGGCAATCCTCCCGAAAAAATTCCACTAACAATTTATTTTGACTTCTCTTAAAAGAAAGGCACTCATAAAGTGAAGAATGACAGTTACCAAAGGAAGAGACACCAGTCATAACAGAGGTGTCACAGCTTGGGATATGTGCCTGCATCACCCCTCAAGGTGCCCCAGGCTGCCACCCTGAGACTCTCTGTCTGCCCTCAGCTGGCAAGCCTCCCAGGTTCCACCAGTGAGCGTCGCTGTCCTCTCTTGCTCCCTGGGGACCGGCCCTGGGCACCAGTGCCTCAGAAGACACTAGGGACTGGGGTGTGTCTGAGCCCAGCTCCCTTCACACAGGGGCCACACCACTGCAGTCCCCGAGCAGAGAATGAGCAGTCCTTCCCAAGGGAAACTGAGGCACAATGCACCACACTGGGGGATTTTTGGTACCAGGAATTGAACTCAGGGCCTTGGGCTTGCCAGGCAGGTGCTGTGCCACTGAGCTCTGTCCCCAGCCGTGTGCCTGTTCTATGGAGTGACATAGCCTGGGTGAGGCCGTGACAGGTTTGCAGCTCTGGGGGATGAAAGTCCCAAGCGAGTCTGGCCAGGGTCCCCGTCTAAGTCACTTCATGGCCAGGGTCAGAGGCAGGAGTAGCATAGGAGAGCAATCTGCAGGTAAAATAGGACATGGGTTTTGGGGACCACTGCAGTCCAGATAGCTCTGTGGTGCCAGGGAGCCAAGGCCCTCTGGGGAATCCTGTGCTGGGCCCTGCTTCCTCTCTCACTGCCCATTTTGAGCCACTCCTTCCTCCTTCTGCCTGGCACACCAGGTCTCCAAAGGTTGCTCTGGTTCCTTGCTGCATTCTGAAAAGCAATTTCCTCACTTGGGAACCCAAGGCGCCCAGGATGTACTCCCTGCCCTGCTGCAGAGAGGGGTAGTCTGGTTTAACCTCATACTTTCCTGTATCTCTGCCTTAGAGAAAGGAGGAAACCATCTAGCCCAAACCACGAATCTCAGTCTTGTTCCTCAGTGGAGAAAGATGGAGGTGTGATAGGTCCGAAGTTTGCTGTGACCGGGTCTCACACAGTGCCACAGTGGGGATCGGTGAGCCCATAGCCACATGTTGAAGATTCCAACACCAGCCAGTAATGCTGGCGAGGTGGAGAGATCCTCAAAAGGTGGGTCCTGGAGGGAGGAAGTGACATCATTAAGGGTGAGCCAGTCTGTTTCCTGGCTGACCTGGGCTCCTGCCATGATGAACTGCCTCGCCACAGGCCCAAGAGCCACAGAGCCAAGAGATCTGACGGAAGCCTCTGAGCTCTGAGCCCAAATCAACCTTCTCTCCTCCTATGTCCATCACCATGCTTTGTTGGAGTGGTGCAAAGCTGAGCCACCCAGCTGTCTAGCAACGCTCACTCAGAATGGTAAGAGGTCAAGGGGCACAGGATGTCTATGGCTCCACAGAAGCTCATGGCAGCACAGAGAGGCCCAGTGTCCATGGCCCGGGCTCTGTCTGCCCACATGTGACCCCTGGAGCCCCTTCTCCCCTGTACTCCATGCATGCATGCACGTCCGCCCCTGGTGACCTGCTCTCTGGGAGAGAAGGCACAGCTGAGCTCATGTCAGAGACATGGGGGCTGAGGCTGAGCAAGGGTGTTCCAGGGCTCTTGGAGGCTGTCAGTGTCCTGTGGGGCTGCAGGGACAGAGGGGACCATGGGGACAAAAATCACAGAGCAGCGGGGGCAGTGTCCAGGCCTTCCTTCACCCCTCTGTGCCACTCGCCATCCCTTCAGCTCATTTATGTCCGCGTGAAAAAGCCCCCTACTCCCTAAGCTTGGAAGTGTCTGGATACACCAACTGCCATGGAGGTGCAGGATGTGGCCAACACCCAGCCCACCCGGCATAGAACTCACAGAGAAGTCTACAGAGTGCTCTCTCTCCTGTAGCTCACATTTTCTACCTGGGCCACTAGCACGCATTTCCTGTCTTCCACCCGTGGGAACGGCGCCTGGGAGGGCTCGGGCACTTGGAAGGCAGTGCTGGGATCCGACTGGAGAAACAAAAACCCCACTTCCGTCCCCACAGAGCAACAAGGCTCCTCTTGGGGTGACTGGACTGTGCGGCACTTTGTGCACCCTGGGGTGGCCTCCCCACAGCTGGCCTCCGCCTTCTTCGTGTGTGCAGCCCCACACTGCTGAGCTCGCAGCAGGACCTGGTACATTAGCAGTTTGGTCTTCTGCAAGCATCCATGTCCAGGTAGGTCGTGTTGAGCACACCAGGCATTCTGACAGCTTTAGGTACAGCAAGCCGCACTTGGAGAAAAGCCATGAACCTGCAGATAATCTGAGAACAGAAGAACGTTCCAGTAGATGAAATGCTTTCCACGACCCACAGCAGCCCCAGTAGTCAGCCCCGCCTCGGCTATAAGGGAGACTTCAAGCAGAAGTCTTTTGAGGGTGTTTCATAGAAAAATACACTGGATGTACTTGGCTCTGTTCAAGAGAATTGGCTTCAGTCCCATGGAAATCTGACATGGAAATCAACCCCGTGTTTATTTGGCTCAGGATTAATTGTCAGACATTCTGATGCAAAGTACCACTGAGCGTCTGTGAGTAAAACCAGCCGTGTGTACAGAGCTTTGCTGCAAATATTTCTTTCTGGATCCACTTCTGGTTTTTTATCAAAATTCCTGATGGCAGAAATACAAAGAGCCCACAGTGGACAACTTGAGTCACTCATACCCTGGCTGCGCAGCCGCGTTACTGCCCAGGAGAGAAAGCCGGCCACGTTCCCCCAGAGATGCTGAACTGCAGAGAGCAAGTGATTTCCCAGCACCAGGCCTGGGGGCGACCCGCCGGGCACTCCACCTGCAGCTGAAGGAGGGTCAGGGCTTGTGGCTGATTCGGTGGGCTCAGTACCAAGCAAAGCAAAAGTTCAGGATGGTGAAGTAAGGACTCAGGGGCTGGTGCTGTTGCCTTCAAACTCACTGTGAGAATAGCTAATTCATTCCCAGAGGCTTCTGGTCTTTTAATAAACTGTGGTCTGAGTCTGCCTTCAGCACCGAGCTGAGGGTGGGAGTCAAATGCCTTCTGTCTCCCACTCCAGCGCGAGATGCTTCCTTGGGTCCTTGCTCCCTAAAGAACCAGGCGAGAGGGGGCACATGGGACCTCCGATCTGCCCTCAGCCTGCAAAGTGTCTGTCTTTCTGGGGTGAGATGCACTGGGAATGGGGTGCAGAGAAGAGGGAGGCCGGTAGGAGAGGGTGTGAGCAGGCGCACACTGCGGAGCTGGGCGGGCTGGGCCGGACCAGGCCAGGCTCCTGCCAGTGGGTTTGTGGGGAAAGAGCTGTAGGAAGTTGCACTACCCCACAAGTCTCCTCCTGTCACCATGACCAGCTCGGGGGTTCGGTGAGGGACGAATAAGCCAGCCAAACCCCAGTCTTCTGAGCTCAAAGTGGAGAAAGGAACAGTTCCTAGTACAGCGACCGTCTACGGCAGAGAAAGAGGCAGCACTGGGAAGCAAACACACGTGCCAGACAGGCACAACAAACCCAAAGGGAAGACCAAAGCAGAAGCCGCAGGAGAGGAAGTGCGGGCTGCGAGGGCGCGCAGGCGGCGAGCGTGCGCGTGGGCAGCAGCGCCAGCCTCGAGAGGCGACGCCGAGACATCGGCCGCCTCCGCCGTGCGTGGCTATTACGACATCATCCTCCTGTGCGGGGCCCAACTCCGCACCGCTGCTCTGCTCCGCTTTTCCTAGTCACACCGAGATCTCAGATCTCGAGCCTCCCCTTAGTTCGCAGAGCCGCCCACTCCCGCCCACGCGCCTGGCTCTGCCGGCTACACCTCATAGTCCCTCTTTGGGCCAGGGTCCCAG